CTTTAATTACGACTTTAATTAAAAAAAGGAAAAGGTTTAAAAATTATTGCTCCCAGTTATTCAGACAATTTCGTTCGCAATTTAATCTGCAACACCTGAAAATTTCAGTAAAAAAATGCGCAAAAATCCCTTCCAAAATACATTGTCGTCTAAGGAAGCTTGGCAACATTCGAACGCTCATACGATATTTTTCCTTAGGGCGGGAGCAAAGAGCACGTAACACCTGAGCTTCAATTCCGACTTAAATTAAAAAAATACGAATGTATTGGAAAAGTTTTAAAGTTCTCCCAGTTATTCAGACAATTTCGTTCGCAATTTAATCTGCAACACCTGAGAATTTCAGTAAAAAAATGTGCGAAAATTCCTTCCGAAATACATTGTCGTCTAAGGAAGTTCGTGGAAAAACAAGGATGAAAAAACGGGAAACAAGGCTAAAAATACACAATTAATGAAACCCGAGACGTTCCGACTCAAAACTGAGTCATTTTCAGTCGGAAACAATACAAACTTAAAAGAAAAACGATAAAAAACCTGAGCCCTACATGGTGGTGGCCGGGATCTCAGAGAAAGAGAAAATTGATAACAACCAAGGCACATCTCAGATCCCGGCCACCACCATGTAGGGCTCAGGTTTTTTATCGTTTTTCTTTTAAGTTTGTATTGTTTCCGACTGAAAATGACTCAGTTTTGAGTCGGAACGCCTCGGGTTTCATTAATTGTGTATTTTTGGCCTTGTTTCCCGTTTGTTCATCCTTGTTTTTCCACTGTAATCATTGTCTTGGGCTGTTCTTAAAACTTTGTACCTAAGGAAGTTCGGCAACATTCGAACGCTCATACGACGTTTTCCCTTAGGACGGGAGCATAGAGCACGTAACACCCGAGCTTTTTCCTTCATAAAAATAGAACAGGGCTCCCGGGCCGAGCCGCGGAGCTTTGAGCTTTTGCAAGTGCAGGCGCCGCCTCCGCGCGCGGTCCGGTCCGAAAATCGTGATCCGCTCCGAGTCGGCTCTGGCGGGGCCGGGAAACGGCCCGATTTTCGATCATAGACCCTTATTCAGTGATCAATTAGGTAACGGCGTCGATACGTTTACTGACCCACATCCCGGCGTCGCGGCGTCGGGGGCCGCGGACCCGTCGCCGTCGGGCGCGGCGTCCCCGAATCCGGGGCTTTCGAAAGTCCCCGCGGACTGGTCACCGCGGCGGAGTGGACACCCCCCCCCCCNCCCCCCCCCCCCCGGGGCCCCCTAAATTCGTGGACCGTAAAGTCGGAGGAAATCCTGCGGTCGACCGCCGGGGCCGCACAGTAGGTGGTCGATGGGGGAAAATGGAGATGTTGCATGTGTGAGGAATTTGCGATTTGACTGTTGATTCTTATGTAAAAGTTCGCGAGAAACACGATGGTACCTCGTCGTGTGAACGGTCGGAAACCGTGATTCGAGCAGCGCAATCAGTCCGAGGATGAAGAGGAGAGAAAAAAAAACACGAAGTGTTTCGGAAAAACAGGAACGGTGGATAAAAGACGACAACGAGGAGGTTTTTTCCCTGCTATCGCGGGAGAGAAACTAGGACTGAAAACTCGGTTCGTCGGTGACTTGAACGCGCGATTAGGAAAAAGAGATGAGTAAATGAGAGCGAGGAACTTCCATTGATGTTCGTCGGGCTGTGCTTCAAAGCTGGAATTTTACAGGTTTCAGGGTCGTCATAATGGAGATGTTGCATGTGTGGAGAATTTGCGATTTGACTGTTGATTCACATGTAAAAGTTCGCGAGAAACACGATGGTGCCACTGGTTTTCTCTGAAATCAACTCCCAAGCTCGAAAAAAGCTCTCAAGATGAGGCCAAAATGGAGAGGATATCCCGCGCTATCCTGAGAGTCCACCTCTGCATCAAGACAAAATCTCCATGCAAAAATAGGGAGCACTTGTGTTTTCAGCTGAAAATTTCAACGTCAGACTTCTTCCGATGGCTCTTGACTGAAAGAAATTTTACTAGAGATATTATTTTGACTGAAAATATCGTTTCTTGTCGAATTTTTTTTTTGTTTGTTTTTTTTTTGTTTATCTTTTATAGTTAGATCCGTGCGGATTCAACTCAACATAGGTTTTCTTCTGAGTTAAAAAGCGTCGTTTTGCTATCGTTGAGTTCACGTCAAAAAACGATGACAACCCAACTTTTGTAACTCAGAAAAAGCTGACTTTAAATTAAACCCACACGGTTTTAACTAAAAATAAAAATAAAAATTGTCGACAAGAACCGACGCTTTAAGTCAAAATGATATCTTAGAAAAAACGTTTTTCAGCGTTCCCCACACTGGAAAAACAACACATTGGATCTAGAGTCCAAACTTTTAAAAATTTGACAAGAAAAAAGACTCTTGATTCAAGCAAATTTAAGCTTGAAACAAAATGGAAATCCGCTCAAATTAGGAGGCTTGGTTCTTGATTTAAGCTTAAATCTGATTGAATCAAGAGTATTTTTTCTTGTTGATGTTTTTAAGAGTCTGGACTCTAGATCCAATGTGTTTTTTTTTTCCAGTGCACTGTGGGCCGGGGCGGATCCGAGCGGTAACGTATGAGGTCCCGGCGGTTCACGAACGAGAGCGTCCGTTTTCGTTGATGTCTTGCTCAAGCCGCCTTGATTAGGCTTTACGTAACGGCCGGCCGGCGAGCACTCGCGGAAACCGCGGGATAGCGCTCCCGTCGGACGCTCCGATTCGCGTGTCCCCCCCAAGTGATAGCCAAGAGCACCGTAAGTGCAGTTCCGTATGAGCCTTGGTCAGCACATGCTCTTACGGGTCTGAAGGTTCACCCTGGACTGCACTTATGCGTAACGCGAATCCCGTTGGACGCTGCGATTCGCCCGGCGCTGCGTATCCCCCGAAGTGAATCGTAAGTGCAGTTCCATATGAGCCATGTTTATCACATACTCTTACGGATGTGGAGGCTCATCCTGGACTGCACTTACGGCTCTATACCGGAACGGACGCATCCCCTGTCCCGTTGGACGCTGCGATTCGCCCGGCGCAGCGTGTCCCCTCGAAGTGATAGCGAAGAGACCCGTGAGTGCAGTTCCGTATGAGTCATGGTTAGCAAATTATTTTACGGATCTCGAGGCTCATCCTGGACTGCACTTACGGCTCTACTCCGTAACGCGGCAGTGCAATGGATAGTCTTCGCACGGCACGATCGGAATGAGGCCTTCGAAATGGGCGATCGATGCGACTGTTGATCGTCAATCGTGTGACAAAATACTCCGCTTTGAAGCGTTTTTATGTTCTTGGGTGCGTTCTCAGGTTATTGCCGATCATATTGATCGCATCTTAGGGAACATTTGCATAAGTGTTTGGGTATCGTATGCTTTCGATTTTCCCTGATTGAAAGTTGCACAATCTTAAAAAAAATTCTGATCACTTGATTCTTTCCTACTTGACACGGATAAAGTTACAGCTCTGTTTACTCATTTCTTTTCACCTGTAGACCATTTATTGACACTGCTGTACAGAGGAAAAACGCCGTATGAACCTCCGTCGGTTGCCAAATTTTCTTTAATTAAGTGCGAATGTCCAAGAAAAACTGAGAAGAAAACACTTTTTCAGAGAATTTCGTCTGAGATTAGATTTAGTGCATGTGAAATTTTTAAGGTGAAATCTATATTATACAGCTACAAGCAAAATCTTGGAAGCACTATTTCTGACGAACTGCCGGACCGATAAGGATGATCTTTACATGTATGTCATCTGTAGTAGATGTAGATGTGCAAAAAATTATGAAACCCCGAATTTTTAATGTTGTAGAGCTTTTAAAGTTCATGTCACTTAAGTCCAATGTTAATAGTGTGAGGGAGCATCGCTCAGGGTTCAAGGTTCAAGGTCCAAGGTCCAAGGTATAAGGTTTAACTCAATTTTTCCTGCGTTCTTCCGGCTTCGATTTGTGGCATTGGTCAATTTACTCGATTGCTGAATTTCTATTAATATTTACAGCAGATAAACAGCAGATACAAAGTGAGAAGGCAGGCGCTGCGTCGCGTCAGGACGGACCAAATATTATCAACTCTTAACGGTCGAAATCCGATTTTTTTTTTT